ACCGTATTACGACACGGAGATTTACGATCGTAATACGGAGCCATGTAATACGGCCAAATACGTCGATTTACCGTCGTATACGGCAGAAAACGGCCGTATACGGCCCGTATTTCACCGTATACGGACGTCGTAAAGCTCGTCCTGGGTCCGTGTCAGTTCCTTGAGTGCAGAAGAAAGTCAACAGGCTGATCGGAGCGAGAGGGAAGGCGTGCGTAAAATTTCATCCAAGTCGTAAGAGATTGCGATTTTACTCACTTTCTAATCAAATGACGCAGTTCAATGCAAATTCGAGAGTGATCGTGTCCATGGCGGATGTGAGTGAATATGTCAGCTTGAGCTCGGTGAGAAGAGTCCTGCTGAAGATGCCTAATGCACGGCGTCAAAAGCTGTGTGAAACATACATCACGCACGGTGGGGAAAGATTTGTAGCAGAGGTTGCAGGTACGGTGAGAAAAGTCCTGTGGAAGAGGTATCACGTGCGACGAGAAGAGTTTTGTGGAAAACGCCTTACGCTCAGCGGGAACAATCCTCTTGAAAATGCCTGAGGCATGTAGGTTAACGTTCTGCCCAAGAGGTTTCAGGTGTGATGGGAAAAGTCCTGTGAAAGAGGCCTGTCGCACGACAGGAAAAGTTCTGTTGCAGAAAGTTCACCCACAGCGGAAAACAGTCCTGTAGAAGACGTGTCATGCACGGCAGGAAAAGTCAGGTGGAAGATGCAAAACTTTAACTATATTCCCTTTTCATTGGGTACCTCCGTTAGTCTATTTATATATATAAATCGACTTGTTTTTATAATAGTTTCATACAATTCATAGTGTTGACCAAACTGTTCAAGTTTTACCAACAAAAACTCGCCCAAAAAAATTAATGTTCGTCGAATCCAATGGTCATTGATATCAATATTTTCTCAAAGGTCTTGCAGATCTTCATTTAGATGAACGGATTATGCAATTATTATCGGTAATAAATGTTATGTTTACTAAAATTAATCGTAATGAACTATGGTCATATGAAGCTAGAAATTATACTGTTATACCGCTTGCATCAAGAAGTAGTTTAATACAATGGGTTGAAGCAGGGGCGGCGGAGCGTCATTAAGCTAGGTGAGGCTCATCATATTTTTTTGCTACCGTGGAATTTTAAGAAACATCAAGTAGTAAATAAGTCTTCTTTTTATTGAACTTCAGTAAAAATAAAAATGGTCAGTATAAAAAAAGAAGATTGGAAAATACCGAAAACTAGTTTTCTTTGCTTCTACTCTGATGCAAGAACAAGATAATAGCAATATTCAGTACAAAAGCAAGTGAGGCTGAGTCTCACATTGTGAAATCTAGGTGAGGCTGAGCCTCATCTACTGAAAAATAGGTGAGGCTCAAGCCTCACCTGTCTCAATGGCTCCGCCGCCACTGGGTTGAAGGTGCAACAACATTATTTACACTTCATAAACGGCAAACAACAGCACTAACATGGAAAGCTCACGTATGTTTAAAATTTATATTTTAAAACTAAAAATTGTTTTGAATATTTTTTTTATCAAGAATGATAATCAAGAAATTGCTTTAGCTACAGTACAGAAACCAAATGATGTCTATTAAACAAACTGAAGTTGTATCGATTATCTATGCGATAAATTTTTATATGTTTAGGGTAAACAACCTGTGGAAGATCGACGTGAAGTACCAATGCCAATATTACGTCAATGTATTGAAGAATTAATAAGTGAAACACCAGCAGATCTTTTGTCAAGATGAGATTTAGAATTTTTAATTATCGTCCTAGTTTTGTTTGTTATTTTTATGGAACTTTGATGTAGTGTCCAAGTGTTGGTTTATGGTATAAAAATGTTCAAAACTACAGGTATGTATTTTGTTTTGTAATACTCTTTTTCATTAAACGGTTAATCGATACACTTCTTATGATTCTTTAATATTATTTGTCTAAAGAGAAAAGTCGATATGAGATGATCTTTAAAGCTGTTGTTGTTAATCCGATGGAGATTATTTTACTAAGTCTTTTAGAAATACAACTTGATGATTTAGGGTATAAACGTCTCAATGCATCTGATATTTTGTTTGTCTCATGAGAATATTTCCAAATTTCATCATCGATAGTTAAAATTATTGATTATCCTATGTTTTTGAATTTTAATCGTTCATTAACTGTAACATCCAAGATTGGATATATGATTGGTTTTGGTAATCGTCATGTTGATAAGATTCTTACTGATTTGAAATCTGGACAAGTAAAAAGAGAAACATTTTTTCTTAGAAAAAAAAACTCATTTAAATCGAATTTTATTTTCTCTAGATAATTCATATTGTTTTGAAAAAATTAAAAAAATACTTGTACCAGAAAAAGCTTCATATCGTTTAACCCAAAATTTACAAAATGCACTTGGTATTGCTGGACTTAAAGGTGTTTTTTCATTATCATCAGAAAATGTTCTTAAAATATTACGTAATGGAAAACAAATTTTACTTAATTTACTTGAATCATTCATCGATGATCCTTTAATTGATTGGATTGGTCATGATACCGGTGTACTGGCTGCATTTTATGGTGGTCAAAATAATTTATATGAAGAAACAACAGTTAAAAAACGTCAAGTTGAAAAAGATGCTTTATTACGAATGTTTCAACTTCGTCAAATTAAGATACGACAGAATTGGATTACGATAGGGTAAATAGTTAAAGTGAAAGTTCTTTTTTTCATATTATATATTAGAAAAAACCATTTTAGGGAATCAATTGATGGTACTATGGAATAAATTAATTCAACGTGTTAATGATATAAATGAGTTAGAAAAAAATATCAATGAATATGATATAAAAATGAATATTATGGAAAGACGTTTTTCGATTATTTTAAAACGGCATTAGAGAGTTCATCAAAAAATCATTAATTATTTTCATTACTGGATAGGTAAAATTTGTTTTTTTTGTTCGAAAAAAATATTGAGAAACATTTTAATTTAGACCAAAAAGATTACAAACAATTCGAACCGATATGAATACAGCAAAATATTTAGTTTTAACACTTTATCAAAATCTTGAAGATATCTTAATAAATAGCACTGTACGTAATACATTATTAGTATTTTTCATTTCATTTTTATTTGTTTTTCTAAGAAGCACATATCGACTTAAAACCAAATATATTCTACGATAAACTTCATGATTTTTTTGAAAATCACAATGTTTTAATTAGTACATCACCTGCTGTACTTGCTGCAGATTTTCTTCAAACAGTCGGCAAAACAACACGTCTTCATCAATTATGAAATATGATTTAATATATCGAGACCAAAAAAATGTGACCCGCATATGTCTAGTGAGAGCAAAAAAAGCGTAAAAAGAAAGTCGAAACTTTATTACCATTGGATACACATGGTCAATAGAATATCTGAAAAATTCAAAAGAAAGTACGCTCGCTAAAATCTATCTCTGTGCAAGATATTAATTGCTTACTTCGATCTATATTCATCTGTTTCACAATTAAATAATCATTTTTTTTGCTAGAGTGAACAATTGGACGATGAATTATGAAATACTTTAAAAGCTTATTGAACAGCACAACAACCAACAGTTGCCAATATTTTTAAAAATCTTGTTGATCTATGTCAATATTTACCTATTGATTATATTGAATCATCATTATTAACAAAACCAAAAGATTGTTTAAGTGAACTTTGTAATAATTTTACAACAGAAAAGTAAAATTTCTTTTGTTTTTCTCTCATACATTCTTTCATCTATTAAAGTAGATGTCAAGAATCTTTAAATCATATTGATACATATTCAAACTATAAATCAAGAAGTCGCTAAAGTAAAATATATAAATAGCCTTATATTTGAAAAATCTATTTCTTATAGGTATCTGAATTACAAATATTTATTCATCAATCATCTATTGATGTTACTATTTATAAAAATTTACTTGATACAAAACTTCAAGGTAAATAAAATTCATCAGTTCAATCAATTGGCTTTTTTGTTTTGTTTTGTTTCAAAATTATTAGCTTTAGATAATAATGAATATACAAATTATCATAATACACTTTGACTGATGTTATTTGATCGATGGCAACATTGTCGACAAATGAGTGATACAGCAAGAAATCTATTTATCTTTCATCGCTGACTGGTATCAATAATAATACATTTATTAATGAAGTCTATACACTTATTAGTAATACTGCTTATCTTGCTTCAATTATTCAACAAAAAGCACGACAACGGTAAATACTAATTTCAACATAAAAAAAAGAAAAACGTCTATTTGTGTTTTAGTCATCGAATTCTCCACTAATTGATAATACAGTCAAATAAATTAACAGCTTAGAAAATGTCTTGCGAATATTGAAGGTTTGCACTCTCATAAAGGAAATGAACAGGATCGATCTCTAATAACTTTTCACTGGCAATAAAATTAATTCTATCGATTATCATTAAAATTCTCTGAATAAATATTTTATTTTATTAAATAGAATTTATTAAATAATTTTGAACTGACTACAATTCCATTTTTAATTCGTGGTGCGTGTTCTAAACAGAATAGTCTTATCGTATGTATGGATTTATTAAATAACGCATTTCAAACAAATCCAACATATGACCGCATCAAATGTAAGTTATTGTATTTGTTTGCTACAAAAAAAAATAATCACATATTTTGTTTTTAATTCAATAGTTAACAGCATCAGTTGATGATACATGCCAAGAGGTTTATCAACAACTTCGTTCGTCTTGAACAAGTCTGGTTCGATATTATTTGATTATATTCTATTCAAGATTTATATTTTAGCATCAAATGAAATATTCGATACATTTTTAAGTTTATCAGATTCTTTCGATGATCTTAATAAAGAATTGAATAAAATTTATACACTTTTTCAAACGTTGGATATACCTTTAGTTTGGTTACAATCGCCATTATTTGATTGGACACAGGTTTATCTTTCTATTTTTTGAAATAAAAACAAGGGCTTTGTTTTTCAGTTTAGACAAATATTGATAACGATTTACATCAACAATTTTTAACAAATTTTTTTGCTATGAGCAAAATTCGGGGTATGGGTGTGGTTATGTATTTACTCTGATACGGCACACGTGCACATATACCGATATTCACACTCACACATTCTTAACAAATGTTATCCTGTGAAAAAAGAGAGCCTATCATTGATAATAAGTATTCTTAGAATATTAAAAGCAACGTATCCGAACACCTTGGTAAAATGTTCAATAGGATTTCTTTTTCTAAAAAAATAAGATCTGCCATTGACCAAATTTTAACTTCTCAATAATTAAATAATTCAGAAAAAGAATTAACTTGTTTTATCAAACTCAATTAAATTGAATGTTCTTGTTTATTTTTGGCTACTATTGATGGAATCTGTTCACGTGAAAATCTGCTAACAATCACATTTATAAGTCGCAAATCAACGTCAATGAACACATTTGTATTAAGAATAAACAATTAATAAAAAGAAAAAAAGAGTAGTTGGATACACATTTTGTGTTTTGTTTTTGGTCCTTCTTTTTAAAAATGGATTCAGGTTTTATTGAGAATAGAAATGCGTTCCGAGTCTCATGGGAAGTACTTACAAAAAACCGACGTAGATTAGAGACGAAAATCAAATCGAATTTTCAAATAATCTTATTCGATTGACTTCGCCTCAAACGAATTCAATCCGATCGAAGATATTGCCGAATCGAGATTTTCTTATTCGTTTCTGTCTTGACCGTATATACATGAATTCATATTTCTTTCAATTATGAAAGTATGCTTAATGATGAATATGTTTCAGAATTTCCAGAAATCCCAGATAATTAGGCTTTTTAATTATTACGCAATGAAGTTTCATCTAATATGCTACTATTTTACAAAGATCTCTTCATGTGTTAGATCAACGGTTGTACACTGAGTCCATGATAACTCAAGACCACGAGAAGTTTTTTTTATATAGAGAACCGTAAAAATTCCTTTTGAATATGATTCCAAAGAGTAATTACTAAAAAGATTCTATGATATGTATTCTATAAAGAAATACATTCTTTACTAAACAGTTGTTGCCGATTCATTGTATCGCAAAACATTTTTCACTTCAAACTGACACATCATTTTCATGAAGGAAGTAAAATATTATTCATACTGACCTAAGACACAATTATGAACTTAAATACTAAAGAAGTTAATAAACCCCAGAAATTATTTGTAAAAAAAATCGATTTCATCAAGGAAGTCTTCTAATATCTCTTGCTTCATTTATCCAAAAGGGTTTTTCTATTATGGGGGATCTTCTAATATAAGGGGGGTTTAGATATTCATTGTTCATCTGATTATCACAATACAAGTATTGATTAGATACCACAACTCATAGCACCAACAATATATCAAAGTATATATGTTATAATTATGCCTCTATATAAAATTCTATAATATAAATAAAAGTCGTGGTGATTAACATCGTTAATGATTATTGCAAACATCTATCGACGAAGTCTCTATTTTTGCTAGAATGAGAAAGTATAGCATTGAAAACAGCAACGAACTCTACATCTTCCTAAATTTATAGATAGAAATTGTATAAAAAAAACAATGAATTCTATGAATTTAAGTATTCAAAACGAAAGTGAAACTTTGATTATCACTAAAATGATTAGTAGTAAATTTTATATATTTAAAAAGGATTTAAAATTTTTGATTGACTTTCTAACTATAATTCGAATATTTAAATTAATCTTTTCAGTTGAAATATATTTTTCAATAATTTGCAAAATGAAAATTTGAAATGTTGACTTCCTACTATTTGTATAATTTAAGTTGAAAAATAAAATGAAACACAATTTCATAATTTTAGAATTTTCAATTTCATGTTCGCAAATGAGAGGATACGCCCCAACATATGCTCCAAATTTCAGCCCATTTGAACGTACCTGGGCTGAGATCGATTTTTGAGGGTGGAAGGAAGCCTTAAATGTAAACGAACCCATCCGATTGCTTAATTCACTGTGAAGTAAGTCAGTGTGATTTGGGCCAAATAGACTGAACTAATTCAAGGTGAACTAAGAAATATGACTGACCTTTCTTTGTATCGCAGAACGATAACTCTATTGGTTAGTTCATTTTGAATTAGTCTAATTGTTTGTTATCGTCATTGTAGAACAGCATGACGGCATTAATATTTATCAGTCATTCTTCTTACAGACGACAATAATATATATATCGATTGACATAAATGCGCTGTATGAGTTACCTTAGAGATATGAATAATTTAAATAGCGATGATATCAATATACTTGATTTGCCTGATGAAATTTTATTCATGATTTTTAAGAAACTCAATTCAACTGATGTACTCCATTCATTGGTTGATATTAATAAACAATTTCGTCGATTGGCACTTGATTCTCTTTATGTTCGTGATCTTGATATGACTGATTTCGTGACTATTAATTCATTGTATGATCAAACTTCTTCAATAGATACTAAAATTCTATCAAAAATTTATGAAAAAATTCTACCTCGCATCCATCATCAAGTACATAAACTGACTATTGAACAATATTCAATGAAAAATATTCTGCTTGCTGCTATTTACCCTAAACTTTATTATTTATCACTTATTAATTTTCAAGAAGAAATACTATATCAATATTTAACAAGTATACTATTTTCTTTTGTTTGTTTTAAATAATGAAATAGTGAATAGAAATTAATAAATGTCTTTTTTTTTTTAATTAAAGATGATTTAATTCTTCGCGATCTTATGAAACAAATAACACATCTTAATATTGATACTAAAAATAAAACAGAATATTGCTCTGTAACTGTTTCGAAGATTTTTGAAATAATCTTATCTTTATGTAAAAATTTAACTTCTTTAAATTTTTGTGATATGTTTCCTATAAGAACGAATCAGACGTCTATGTTTTATCTATCATCAAAACGTCATATGTCTTCAACTTTAATAAAGTTGAAAATTAATGTTGCCAGTTTGGTTGATTGTCTTTATCTTCTTGATGGTCGTCTCGATTCTTTAACAATCTTAATTATTAATGTGCGTCAGATTTTTGATCCAGTAATAGATATCGGTTCAAGGGTAAGTAGAATTTCGATATTCATTTTCTTCAGAAAAAAGACTAAACTAAATAAATTATTTTATTTTATCTTATAGAAAAAGCTTCCCAAATTGAAATATTTTTCATTTACCGCTTCTACTTTCACATGTTATTATGATATTCTAATTGTTCCATTACTTTGTCGAATGATAAATCTTGAAGAATTGAAATTATATCTATCATTACAAAGATTTAACTCGACTTATATTGATGGTATTCAATTATATGATCAATTTCTTGGTTGCATGACACAATTAAAGAGATTTATATTTTGGATTAATACAAAAGTCTTCAACGAGACAGCTAATGTTGAACTTCAATCAAATAAAGATATTCAACACAGTTTCATTGGAAGAGGATACGAACAAGTTGCTTCATATGTTCATACTAATTCAACGAACACTAGAGGCCAATGCATTATTTATTCACTGCCATATGATTTCGAAAATTTTGTTGACCTCGACAATTCTTTTCAAGGTGGAGTCTTCTATAAAGTTCGACAATTGACAATGAGCGATAGAATTTCTTTTGAACATCAACTTTTTCAACGAATTTCTGCAGATTTTCCTTTTCTCCAAATTTTGTATATATCTAACAGTCATCCACAAAACAACAAATCATATTCATCATTATTAATCACTTTTCCTTATCTCAAATTTCTTGACCTTCAATATGCACATGTTAACTATGCTGAACTGTTTCTCTTGAAAAACAATGTTCACCTACCTCGTTTGTTAAATCTTCGTGTCGAATATGAATCACTCGCAAACTTAACGAATAATTTCACCAATGATGCAACATATTTCAATTTCCATACATTGAAAAGTCTTGATGTATGTCAATCATTTGTTCGTCCAGAAAATTTTCATCATTATTTTCCTTTATTATAAGTTGTGTCAATCAAAGAAAATAGTTTAAAAACAAATTAAATATTTTTTTAATCTAAACTGTTGTTTCAAAGAGCAGCATAGTTACAAAAGTTTTTAAGTCTTTTCTGTAGGTATAAAAATTTCTATCTGTTTCATATTACGATATGCTAACAATGAAAGCTATTATGTGTAAGACAAACTTTGACATCGATTTTTTACAATTTATTTGTGCTAGTTTTCGCTACGATCTTCGTTCATAATGGCAATTTAGGGAAAAGACTTTGTCGTTATAGTTGTATAACAAAAAGGAGCGATGTTACTTAAAACAATTCGAAGAAATTAGATAGATACTCGATCCATTAAATACTGCTAGATTTCGATTTCGATTTCAATAGTTATTAAATTTTTAAAATAATCGTATGATTTATAAAGATGCAACTTTCGAATTATTTTTATCGATATTTATACGTTCTTTTAAGATGAAAGTTGTTTATTGCAATTGAAAATGCACACTTATAGAATATTCAGTGTAATAACTTATTATTTTCAGACATACTGCAACTGCTAACTTTAATACCGGTCATTGAAAAAGGACATGACTATTTCAAGGGTATTCGTAGCCGGAATTCACTTTCCATTAAAGTTCATTGGTCGCATTGAAAATGAATTTTGTTTAGAAACTAACATAAAGAATAAAGATCATATTCGGTGGAAGATTTTCATCATTTGATTTTAGTCAAGATTCAATTGACAATGAAACATTTGTATCATTTGGTTGTTGAGCTATTCGTATATATGCCTGTCCTTTTTTTTCAATTCTTTCAATATAGGTTTTTCCAAGAAATATTGAAATAATTTCAATAAACAAAAAAAAAACGGACGCAGCTTTATCCATCGATGATGACTATAGAAAAAAGAAATGAGAAATGGAAATTTTTCTTTTTCTTCTTATTCATGTTAGAAAAAAAGAATACAAGGAAAAAGAATCATATATACAAACAAAAGAAAAAAATGATTAAAAACTTCTGATAATAGATACGTATGTTTATTTTATTTTAATCGCTTGACTGGCATATATGAAATGTGTTGACAAAATTTAAAAAAAGTTCTAAACTACAGGAACAAGAATAAATAAAATAGGATATAATGATGACGATGTCATCTGTACTTGTTCACTAACGAAAAAAAAAAGAAAAGGTAAAGAAAAACATTAATTGAAAAAAAAAGTGAAATTTACATGGAAAATTTTATCTGTAGTAATCCTTATTCGCATCATATTTGATATTATGTTATTTCATTAGTATTTGTTGCACTACTACTGGAACTTTCGACTGATGCAGCAATATTTCCATAACCAATTAATTGATGATATGTTCCAGTCGTTAATGTTTGATCATTTACCATTAAATTATTTTTATAATTCAATATTACCTTTATTGTAAAAGCTTCAGTTTGATTTTGTTTATAGCTAATTATCGGTATTAACGACGATTATTTTGACCTGGAGATATTTTAGAATTGTATTTCATATTTTGATTTATCCTTTTCAAACGATATGATGAACAGTTAAGTCATCAATAGAAAAGATAGATGAAATATAGATAAAGAAATGGTTTTAAGTTAACTCTCTTTAATTTCATGTTTCAATTCAAATCTAATTTGTATTTTACATAAGATCTTTCATAAATCAAACATTATTTCAAAATTGACATGATAAATATTTTAGAATAGTCAATATCTAATGGTAAGGACTTCAAACAAAAATATGTCCTTCATTTCTGACAATCCATAAATACAAAAACATATTTAGATCTAGTTTTTTCTATACAATAGATGCAGGTGCAGAACACCAATTCATGTAAGAATTATAAATCTGACGACGTCATTTCGTAGCATAATGCAAAAAATCTTTCCAAAAACAATTATAAAGAAAAACAAAAATCTTGAATTAGCTGTGATGTGATACTGTATATCACTGCCATAATTAAATGACATATGTTTATGTATAATATTTTATTTTACAACTCAATAATAATAAAGTAACAAAGTGGAAATATTTAATAGGAAAAGATCATTTGTTGGTTTCAACTAAGAAGGAACGTCTCTCTATCACTTAGTCAAGACTTATTCGATTTTAATCAAATGGCAGCATTGCTTCTGGAAACTAAAAGCAATAAAGTGAACCAAAGAGAATGAAAGAAAAATTCTCAGTTATGAGGAATATTTATATGAAACTATCCAAGAAAACTAGTAAAATGAGTCCATACAACACTTTGTGATACCGGAAAGTTACTTTGACAATGGAACATACTTCTTTCACAATTCTTTGAAGAAATAAAATACGAATGACGTTCATTTTAAGATTAGTCTTCATCTTTTCAATTTAATTCAAGTCAAGAAGACAGACAGACACACAAACGCATTTTGTTTTCATATGATTCTACCTACAGTTGAGGAAACAAATTAAATTCAGAAATATTAGCACATAAAAGAAATATTTTGAAAAATACTGATCGAATC